TTTGTCAGTCTACGGCCTGCCAACCAGATCTGACCCATAGATAGTCTTCACTGCTGTGTTTCAAGCCAACCTCCTGTTGGATTCTTAGAAGTAAACTTTTAACACATTCAAAACACACCCATCCAAAACAATCAATCATCATGTACAACAATCAGATGTTTTTGAACTTACAACCCTTTTTCTGAACCACTTTAGCCTTGGTTGTCTTCAGGCTGTTTCTGTGAGTAGCAAGTTGTCATCTGGCCTAAAACATTTGATTGTTGTAAATAGTTATTGGTTGATTGGATGGGTGTGTTTTGCATGTGTTAAAGTCTACTTTTGAGACTTCAACAGGAGGTTGGCTTGAAACACAGCAGTGAAGACTACCTATGGGACAGTTGGCAGGCCGTAGACTGAGGAAGTCCTCTGGATGGGGGATGAAACGTTTCTCACTTAAAGAAACTGGTCCAAATTACACAATTTAAACTTTTTTGTTGTTATCTACCTGGACGATTAAGCTTACAAACATTTCACTTTGTGGTTGTCTTCAAAAAAAAATTGTACTTTTTTTTTTTTACATGCTTAAAATTCAAACATCACACTGAAGCCCCCACAAACCTCTTGAGACGTTTTGGAAACTCCCTAATGAACACTTTTCAGCAACTAGTCGCAGCCCAGTCAGACACCACCCCGATGGCTGTTTTATACTCCCCAAGAACTGACAACACTGTTCTCTCTCCCAAAAGCTGCGGGGAAATAATTTCGTAAATCTTTTTGCGGTCCTGGTCCGGGGGTGCTAGCAGCTTGTTCTCGACGCTTCATCTGAGCAGAATCTGTGAGTGGTCAGAAATTTGACTTGGTTAATGTGGACAAGTGAAAATATTGACATTCCTGCATTAAGGACTTCTCAGGAGTTCAGCACTTAGGTTTTTCATGAATCGTCCTGGCCGAAACAAACTTTTGGTTTGTTCTGGTAAGAAAAGGCTTTGCCTCAGGTGGAGGAGCTCAAGTATCTGAGCATCTTGTTCCTGAGTGATGGTAGGTAGGATGGAGCGGGAGATGAAGCGGCAGATCTTGTCCTCAATAATGAGGGCGTTGCTTTAGTCAGTTGTGGTGAAGAAAGAGCTGAATCGAAAGGCAAAGCTCTGGATTTACTGGCCTATCTATTCCAACCCTCACCTGTTGTCATGAGGTTTAGATCATGATCAAAAGAATGAGATCCTGGATACTAGTGGCTGAAATGAGCTTCCTTCGTAGGGTGGCCGAGTTCATCCTTAGAGATAGGGTGAGGACTTCCATCATCCAAGGGAAGCTTGGAGTAGAGCTGCAGCTCTTTTGCACCAAAAGGATTCAGTTGGGGTGGTTCAGGAACCAGATTAGGATGCCTCCATGACACCTATCTTTAGAGGTTTTCTGGGCAGGCCTCAGAGAACCTTGAGGCAGACCAAGATCTTGCTGGAGGAGTTGCGTATCTTCGCTGACCAGGGAATGCTTTGGGATCTCCCAGGAGGAGCTGCAGGGTGTTGCATTTCTTTCTCTGTATTTTGAGACGTCATCAACGTGATGATTATCACCACCTAGTGGTGCGGCCTCAGTGTTGGTGTTTTGGTTTTTGTACAAACAGATGAAACCTATTAAAAAGTGAATAAAACACTCAGACCTCTCCTCTTCAGCTCAGAGCTCTTGTTTATTCATCTGTCAACACAAATATTACATTTAATTTGATTTAAATACTTGTATCCATACAGTAAATCCTTCTGGTAGATTTAAGAAATATTTAGAACTCTGATCATAACACACAAAATTCATGTTTAGATGTAGATTTACATGTAAATTTGACCAATCAACTTTTTTTAATCCTTTTTTGACATAATTTAGTGTCTGTTTTAAAGGTACTTGGATGTATATCTTGTGTTTTTACAGTTTTATTTTTTTGAACTGACAAATTGGCCAATTTGACCTATTGATTAACAAATAAGTATAATAAATGTGAAGTGAGGGCAGCGGAAGGCAGACAGAGATGTAAATGTGCACAGAAAGAAGACTCCTGGGAGTTCAGGCCACCTATAATTAATCCTCAGACACTCAGGTGTTCAACGTGCAGCAGGACAGGAGATAAAGCGTTTGCAGGTAATGAGGAACAGAACTTATTACTTGTTTCCAGCTGATTGCAAGGAGTTGTTGTCTTTTTGTAGATACAGATTCTTTATATTATCCGTTAGCTGTGAAATACAAACTAAACCCTCTGCTCTTCAGAACAAAGGAATGTTGCAGCTGAGACGATCTGCTGCCTCTGCACACATTTAAAGACAGGAGGTGACCTTTAGTCCGTGCTGTTACCGTCATCGAGGTTAGGTTGAGAAGAAGCAGACCTCAAGACGAAATGTGCAGCTTGTTACGAATTCAAACCAACATTCAGCTCTGCAGATTTAGACTTCCACGCTCAACAATAGTCACGTTTCCTGTCTTATCTGAGCCAGAGTCAAACAAAGTGGTTCGTTTGAGCGTTCTTGATACAGATCCAACCCTAAGATCAAACCTACTACCTTCAAACCAGCAGTAATCAGGCTCGAAGTGGCTGAACATCTTCATGTAAATTACATGCAAAATTTGAAGTCCAAAAGTGCAGAGAAGCTGCTGATGGGTGTTTCGAATGCACGCAGAGTCAATGTAGCGTGTGCACTCGCAGCTGCTCTGAGCACAGACGTTCTGCACACACATGGCTGCCTCTGCGTCTTTGTTTCTGCGTCCTCGTGTCTGTCACACAAAAAGCACATGCAGGCTGATAGCACTGCACTCTTATTTTAGTTTATTGGGTTTTTGTTTTACGTTAACACGTTTTTCTGCTCCTCTTCACCTGCCTCTCGTTTTGCTTTAACAAGCTGCCAACTCCATCACCCTGTTCAAAGGTTTCTTTTTACACCACACAAGGAAACATTTTTAGACACTTTCTTTCACCTTTTTTTTCATGCAGCCTTGTTCCTGTTCAGCTCCAGTTCATCTTTTCTGCCACTAGAAGCTGACGTCGTCCTCAAGAACCCACTTTGGAGTTTCACTTTATTTGTAGATTAAAGCAACAAAAGACATTGAACTGTAACAATCTGCATCACCTTGAAGGGATGCTGCTCTTACCCGTCCTGCCATCCCCTCTGAGTGGCCCTCTTGTGTTTGGGGGAACAAAGTGTTTTAAAAGTGATTACCTCCTCCGTGCTCATCCTCTGCATTGTGGCAGTGATGTTGGGGAGCCCCACGATGCGCAGGCTTTCCTCACTCATTAAAAAGAGCTGACGGTGCGGCTCCAAAGCCCCCGGTCCTCCTCCGCAGTGCCCATGTTGGATCGAAACCAGAATGAAGCAGTGCAGCGCATCAGTCTCTTCAGAGGCCCTGAGAAGCAGCTGCACCACTCCCTGGACTCGACTTTCTGTAACTGCAGCAGAGCCCTAATAACGCTCTGTGGGAAGATCTTCTGGATGAAAACAGTTCAGCAGGAACCTGATCATAATTAGGTTTCACGCTAGGACCCTTGAGAGAACAGATTTATTCCATTTGTGAGCTTTTTAAATGGATGAACTCATGAAAAGCTCTGAAGTTGTTAAAGCGCTTTGTACGGTGGCCTTGAGGGGCAAAAAGCAGAATAAAAAACCTAATAAAAATAACTTTTTACAAAATGCAACAGTGAAACTGAAAACTAAACAGAAACAATAACTTTAAAACACAATTAAAAAAAGAGAAGAATAAAATAAAACTGTTTGAGATTTAACCCAGCAGAAAGCATATTCTATGAATCCATCACCTTCTGTTTGTTCTGGAGTCTCTGGCGCAGCAGATTTAGTTTTAGCAGGGAGGTCCAGACATCTCTTTCTTCAGCCTCTTCTTCCAGCTCTTCTGGGAGGACTCCAGATGTTCCTAGACCAGCAGTTTTGGGCCTTCTCCAGGGTCTCCTCCCAGTCAGACATGCCTGGAAAACTTCCCTAGTGAGGCGTTTCAGGAAGCATCGTTACTAGATGTCTGAACCACCTCAACTGGCTCCTCTGGATGTGGAGGAGCAGTGTTTCTACTCAGAGTCTCTCCTGAGTAACTTCTCACCTTGTCTCTAAGGGAGAGTCCAGCTACGCAGAGGAAAAACTCATTTTAGCTGCTTGTATCCCTGATCTCTTATTTTCAGTCATACCCAGAGTTCAGACATAGGTGAGGGTAGGAACATCGTCCGACTGATAAACAGAGAGCTTCTGCTTGCAGCCCAGCTGCTTCTTCACCACAACAGACCGGCACAGAGTCCACAATAATGCAGAAGCTGCACCTATCCATCGGTCAATCTCACGCTCCATTCTTCCCTCATTCGTGAACAAAACCCTGAGATACTTGAACTCCTCCACTTGAGACAGAACTTCACCCCTTAGAAAGCAATCCCCCCTTTTCTGACTGAGGACCATGGCCTCAGAGTTGGAGGTGCTGATCCTCATGCCAGCTGCTACCACCTTGCCCGCAAACTGCTCCAGTGAGAGCTGAAGATCACGGCACGATGACGCCAACATTATTTTTAAATTTTACAAAAACAAATATACAAAAAAAAAAAAACTGAGGAAATCAGTACATATTTCAGAATAATCTCAGAAAATCAGTCTTTGAGCATCAATCAGACGTGAACACTAACGCACCCTGCTGCTTTCAGCCCCTGATGATTGGTGAACTTACGTTTGCACGCTAACTGGAGCACAACTCCACCATCCTGTCTGTTCATCACTGTGACAACGCACGCAGACATTCATGCACGCACACACATTCAACCTACAGAGGATCTTTTTGCTGATCTGAAACTGGTTAGAGTGTAAAATGGCTCTAAGATCATTAGGTTAGGAATAAAAACAATAAGAATATGTTAAAACACCTACCTGCTGTTAGATTTAAAGGGAACCATCAAACAATGTGAACGATCCGAGTCACTCCCACAGATTTCCGGCTCATCCGTGCATTTGCACCTCATTAACTGATGTCTTTCTCTTCCATTTGTCTCTCTGCAGGATCCTGCTGACAGTGGTGGTGATCTTTCGTATTCTAATAGTGGGAATAGTGGGCGAGAAGGTGTACGAAGACGAGCAGATCATGTTCATCTGTAACACCATGCAGCCTGGCTGCAACCAGGCGTGTTACGACAAGGCCTTCCCCATCTCGCACATCCGCTACTGGGTCTTCCAGATCATCCTGGTGTGCACGCCCAGTTTGTGCTTCATCACGTACTCTGTTCACCAGTCCGCCAAGGCGCGCGACCGAAGCTACTCCCTGCTGCACTCTCACATGGATCACCATGGCCACGGCCACCACGGCCGCCATCATGACCACCACGCCCGCAAGCTTCACTCTCGCAACATCAACGGCATCCTGGTGCATCCCGAAAGCAGCAAGGAGGATCACGACATGGAGGTCAAGGAGATCCCCAATGGACCTCGGGGCGTCACCTCGACGCACAAAAGCTCAAAAGTGAAACGGCAAGAAGGCATTTCTCGCTTCTATGTCATCCAGGTGGTGTTCCGCAACGCGCTGGAGATCGGCTTCCTGGCCGGCCAGTACTTCCTGTATGGCTTCAACGTGCCGGGGATGTTTGAGTGCGACCGCTATCCGTGCGTGAAGGAGGTGGAGTGCTACGTGTCCCGTCCGACAGAAAAAACTGTCTTCCTGGTCTTCATGTTCGCCGTGAGCGGCATCTGCGTGCTGCTCAACCTGGCCGAGCTCAATCACCTCGGGTGGAGGAAGATAAAGACGGCCATGCGAGGCGTGCAGGCCCGAAGGAAGTCCATCTGCGAAGTGCGCAAGAAGGACGTCTCGCACCTGTCCCAGGCCCCGAACCTTGGCAGGACCCAGTCTAGTGAGTCAGCGTACGTCTGACAGAGGCTTCTCCGCCTGGGAGCTCGAGGACCTTTGAACTTTTGGACACGAGCTTTTCCCCGGCCTGCTCAGTAGGGCACAGAACTGTAGTCTTATCCAGGAGCACAGACTCTGTGTAGTCACAAGTATTTCACAAGTCGAGTTTTCAACACTTGAAGATAAAAGAATGACCTTCATAATGAAGAGACAACTGTTGACGTTACAGCTAAAACTGATCTTAGTGACTTCTCAGCTCTGCGTAGGCGACACTAGGTGCCTTCAGAGAACCGAGTACATGATCCTGAGCAACTATAAATATATTCAACACGGTAATGATAGTTTGAGATCGACTATTCTTGGGTTCTTTATCATTTGCCTTTGCTGTAGGTGAGGAAACAGATAGAGCTTAAGGCGTGTGCATGCATACGCATGAGTGTGTGTTAAAAAAAGAACTTGTGTCTGATTAAGTCAGAAAATAGAACGGAAATTTAAAGTATTTAAAGAAAGATAACGATATTTCTCATTGTTTGAGAGTTGTCTTTATATGAATTAAGAAGCACCTTTTTCTTAAAGAAATGCAAAAGTCACGAGCACGAAAACGAGCGAGCAGAAACTGGAACGCGTGTTTTGTTGACGCTGCAGGAAATTATTTTAAAAGTCGTCAATATTCTCCGCGAGCTTGGAGAGCGACGATGATTGAGATTTTGTTTCCAGCTCTGTACTGGTGCTCTGCCTCGCTCCCCAGTGCCTATGAGGCGCAGCTGCTTAACTTTCAAAACACCGGAGAGAAAAGTTGACGAAACCTGCGGCGTCTCGACTTTACGTGAAGAACGGGAACGCCTGCAGACCTTTAGGGTTGAGAAGTCACAAACGTTTTAAAGCGTGACATCGTTTTCTTTTGTTCACAAGCACATTTAGTGGCATCTTTCAAAGTTACTGTACATAGATGAGCCGTAGTTCTGACACTCAGCCTCCCCCCACAGCTTTATGTGAAGAGGTTTGAATGGTTCTGAAGATTAATCATAGATTGCCAGCTTTAACAATATGTATCTATAATGTGCTCTTTGTTATGCCTTCACCCCCTCCTTTAATGCAAAGCCTTTTACCCTCTTTGGACTTGGACCTAGGCATGTTACAGATGCATTGATAGAACGGATAAAGTATGACATGTAACTTTTAAAAAAAGAGACAGTTTTATTTATTTATTTGCATCCCGTTCCTGTAAAATGTATTACTCATGCATGTATGAAGATGAAAAATATAAAGAGACTCGGACAATATGGGAAAACTTAAAGCGAAAACCTGAACGGCGCCTCAACTGCAGCAATAAAAGACTATAATATTAAATAATATGTGAAAAGAAATATGTGAATAAATGATTATGCAGTGATTTTGGCTGTGATGTGTTTTACAACGAGGTCATCGTTGGTATTTTATATTGTTAATAAGAAAGGTCAGAACTGGAAAACTGTACAACTAAATTTAAACATTAGAAAAATATATTTGAAGCAATGAAAGCAAGAAATTATTTTTATAAAACATCTTCACATGTGGTCTATATTCTGATTAATTATTGGTGTCAACACACAAGTAGTTAGCTCCTTTATTTGGTCGATGAGCTTCCATTTATGTCACAATATTCAGTTTTCTTCTGGAGCTTTAGAAAAAAAAAAAGACCTATAACTGTGCAGCTCAAACTGGACTATCGTGTTATGACATTTGTTGGCGGTTTATTGGAAGACGAAAACAAAATCCAACCAATTTCCACAGACACAAAAATGGAATTTTGATGAAATAGGTGGGAAAACCCAGCTCTACAGCTCTATGCTTCAGAGCAGAAACCTCTTTAAAAGCTTAAGTGATTCATCAAAAGTTAAACTTTATGTGACAAAAAGGCATTTTTGACATCGTATAGTTTTTACACAATCCAATTTATGATTTTTTTTGGGAGGATAGTACCACAAAATGTTCAGCCTAAAGCAGGAGTCTGCAACCTTTTTCAGGAAAAAGAGCCTTTCCTGCAACATCGATCACTAAATAAATAAAATGTGTCCAGAACTTCAAAACATGTTGCAGTTGTTAGAATCAAGTGGCAGTCCATGGGCCACTTCAAGCTCGTTAGAGGGACTTTGTACAGCTAAAAATAAATACCGTATTTTCCGCTGTACGCGTCGCACCGCCCTATAAGTCACATTGGTCCAAATATGTCTAATAAAGTGGGGAAAAAAACATAAATACGTCACTTTGCCGTATACATCGCATCTAATATGCGTCAACCACTGACAACCCAGAAATGTGTGCCGGTGTTGTGCCAAAAATCAATTGGCTTCCAAATGGCAGCCGCGGGAGCATGCATGGGAGGACTAACAAGAATTTAACAAGACAGCCACCTAAAAACAATTCTTTGTTTGCTCGAAATTATAGTAAAGTGTGTCTCAGTCTAACTTTTCCTTAATAAATGCACTTTGACGGTCAAATCAGCTGCATTTCACAAGATGACTTGCGGAAGCAGGAGCGCACAGAGGGACGACTCTGTGCATTTGTTTGAAATTTTGCAAGATAACCACCTAAAAACAAATTGTTTGCTTGAAATTATAGTAAAGGTGTGTCTCAGTTGAACTTTTACTTAATAAATGCACTTCAATGGTCAAATCAGCTGCATTTCGCCAGGGCTGTGTAGCAAAATGAAGCTGATTTGATGGTTGCTCCAGGCGAGCTGGACGAAGGTGGGGTTCTATGGCTAGCTAATTGTGTCATTAATAGCCACTTTTACCTATTACATGACACAACAGCATGCCATAACCCTTGAGTGCCATCTAGCAGCAGAAAATGGTAGTGTTCAATATTTTCAGTCAGAATGAATAAAAACGGTCATATCTCAGCTAAAACTTGGTTTATAAATATGGGAAAAATCCATAAATACGTCGCTTCGGCGAATAAGTTGCAGGGCATGCAAATTTTGCAAAAAACTGCGACTTATCGGCTGGACACAAAAGTGGCTATTAATGACACAAAAAAAGGTAATGTATTTTAACATTTATTTATTTAACATTTATTTATTATTAACAATCTTTTTTACATTTTAGGACAAAATAAATGCCATTCATGTAAAGAAGGAAAAAGTTATAGTTAATATAAATTTTGATGAATTAAAACACTGAACTCTGCGGCCTATGAGTCCGCCTTTTATCTGAGGAAAAATTAAGTAATTTAAAGTAATAAAGCATAAAATTAAACACCATGTTGTTGGATATGTTAGTGTGACTTATTGTGTTTTCAATATAGAAACAAAAACTTTAATCATGTTTTTGTTTTGCAATTACTATTTTCATCAGTTTGACTCCTCAGTATGACACCATCAAAATATGGGTGGAAAAGGTGAAGCACCCACACCTGCCTCCACCCTTATTTACCCCACAAGGTAAGCAAGGTCCTTAAGCCCTCCCCCCTCCCAATTGTCACACAGATGGCAGAAGCAGTGACTATTTACATTTTACAAGTTTTTATTTCAAGATGACTTACAGTTTTATCAAAGTGGTTGTTTGACTGAGGCTTACTTTTTAGTCTGATTTTCAGCCTGCCTGTCTTATTATAGGTGCTGTCAGGGACTGAGAGACACAGAAGTGTGGTTACCATGGTGATAATATTGAGCCACCTTTACATTTCTTCTGATCTTGGGTCATTTTTACTGTTTTATGCAGTTTGTACATCAAAACGTATGTGTTTTATCACCTTAGATGAGACGTTGGCAACTTCTGGCCTGAGGTCCAAAAGTGGCCTTTGGACAATCTCCATCCGTCCCCCAAAATTCTTAATTAAAAAGAAAAACAATTTTAAATGTGTTGGAGAGAACCAGCAATTTTTTTTTTTCAATGAAGCTTTAGGAAATCTAAATTAAACATTTTGGAAAAATATATTGAAAACATTTAGATTAGGATCATCTAAAACTTTTTACTTTTCATAAGTTGCCATGTTTCCAGACTAAACATTAAAGTATTCCAGATGATCAGTGTTAAAGTAAACTTTAAAGCTTTAAATATCTTGATTTGTCCCTCTGGATAAAACGTTGCCCACCCCTGCCTTTGACAAAAGTAAGTCATAAATTATTAACTTAACGGGGTTTTATAGAAAAAAGCTGATACACATTTTTAAATATTCTAGCATCATTTTCTAAATGAACCTAAATGACTCAAACAGTAAATCCATCCCATTATCTTTACCCGCTTCTTCCTTTTCGGGTCGCAGGGGTCACTGGTGCCCATGTCCAGCAGTCACTGTGCGAGAGGCGGAGGAAATCCAAGTCTCCAGTCCATCCCAGGGACACCTAGGGACAATTTAGAGTTACCAGTCATCCTAACATGCATGTTTTTGGTCTGTGGGAGGAAACCGGAGTACCCAGAGAAAACCCACACATGCACGGAGAGAACATGCAAACTCAACCCAGAAAGGCCCCTGGACCGGGGTTTGAACTGGGACGACCTGCTCGCTAAGAGGCAGCAGCTCTACCAACTGATCCACCGTGCTTCAAACAGTAAATGAATTAAATATTTTATCACAACTAGTAAAAAAAAAAAAAAAAAGCTTAATCAAATTTATTTAGGACTATGCTTCAAAGTTTGGCATCTGGTCAGTAAATACCAACAACTGAATTTTTTCATGTCCTGGATGTTTTGATAAAGAAAAAGGTCCGGTTGTGGAGTAAACGTGGTTCTTTCCTCTGTCTGTGCAGGACGGAGTGGTACTCCTGTTGCATGGACTGAGCTCACCACAGAGAGCATCGCTTTCATTTGCTCCAAACCTGCTTTAACATTCATTATTAAACTCAGAGAAACAATATGCCTCTTAGAGACCCTCTGGCTTTCTCTTGCATTATAGATACTTAATCTGTTCGTTTCTATCATATAAGACTCTCGAGCAAAGTATAAATATCGCCATAAAGGCAGCAGGAACCTCCCGTGGTGGCCTTGCTCATTCGCTGCTATTTCTTGTGTGTGTGTAAATATCGTTTTCACTTTAGGAAGATTCTGACGCCCACCGCTGTTCCTCAGACTCGCCGTGACTCATCCAGCAGGCAGGTGAGTTATTAGACGGGACCTGATCACTTCAGTAATGAGGAAGGCTGCTGAGGGAGAGAGGAGCGAGGTGTGTGGGGGCGGTGAACCTTTTAGCATTATTAAACCTTCAGTCAGCGCCGGCAACGTGAGGCCCCAGAACTGACAGCAGAGTGGGACCAGAGGAAGAGGAACAAAAGGTGATGAGGAGGAGTGTTAACAAAATGGATGCAAAGTAATGAACGCTGCGGTTATTTGTTCCCTCAGAGGCCACGCGGTGATCCCATCGACACATGGAGTCACATGATTGACTCTGTGTTCTACAAGTCTGTGTCAGGAGCCCAACGATCAAACACATAAATGCCTAAACAACGGAGGATGTGACCAGGCCGGTTGCTGTGGTGACAGGAGGGCAGTAATGATGTTAAGCTGCTGCAGCGGCGAGGAGCACGGCGGCACATCGTTCCACAGGAAACACTGGAGTGCAGACTGATTCATGGTCAAAGTTGGGCACGCACTGCGCTCTGCTTTCTGCTGCAGCACTGCAGCTGCATCACTACAGCGCCTGGACACATGTAAGAACAGCGGACTGCTGAAGATAGATGAACGTTTCACTCATCACTGATGATATATTCGTCAAAATTTGGTGTAAAAAGACAACTGAGCAGAAGATTTATAATGTACAGACACTGAAACAGTTCGTACTCAAAGAGTTCAAAAATTTAAGTTTATTTTAATATAATAGAAAAGAGTAGAGGCTAGGCCTGTCACGATAACAAATTTTGCTGGGCGATTAATTGTCTCAGAAATTATTGCGATAAACGATAATATTGTTTGAAATTTAA